TTCATTGATAATAAAATAAAATTCAGGAACCACAGTGAATTCAGATGCAGCAGCAAAACCAGATCAGGGTCCTGGGAACACTTCTCCGATATCAAGCTGTTCATACCCAAGCACACAGAAAACTAAACTTCCAACTCTGTACCCTTGATTAAGAATATTCCTGGCTAAGTAAAGTGGGTGGGGAAAGGCTGCATTCACCACTAAAGAATAAATCACCAAGTTTGGCACATAGCAAGCTTGGTAGCGAATAAAATCATTTCACATTATGCAAACATGAGGTAACCTATGGGCTTCATGCCAGGGAGGCACTCGAGGTAAACTTAGGGAAGAAACTCCCACTGTCTACTACACATACCATGGTAAGCCACAGATTTTTTTCTTTTAATTTATTTCTTTTTAAATATGTTTACATTTGCCTATACTTTAAGCCTTTGAAATAGTGGACTGTGGGTTCCATTGATGCAGTATTTAGGCTAAAAATTCACTAACCACCCTATGACATATAGAATGAATTATGATTAATGCAAGAAATTTAGGGAAAATAAATTCCCCAAAGACGGGTAGTGCTGGAGCATTCATGACTAGGAGTTTGTCAGGTAAAGGAAACTTCATTTAGAGTCATAAAAAAAGTACCTGTCTTCATCAGACATTTCCACCTCATGTAGTGTGTTACTACACAGAGATGCTCTCCTCAGTGCCTGCCCCTGGCTGAGTCCTGGAAGAGCCAACATGCTACAGGTTCTTGGTTTATGCAGTGGGACATAATGTAACTGGCATGATGCTTGGGAATAAAGACGGCTGACTCTTGGAAAGCCCAAGTCAGGGGGCGGGGGCGCAGAACAACAGCCTGCTCTGAGGCAATATGGGTAAAACTACATGTTTGGTTTTGACAGGCATTAGATCAAGGGGTTCCTTTCCAGATGAGCATGGCAGGTTAATAACAGCTGGTGCCCAGAGAAGCTTGGGTCATTGGAACCTAAGGAAGGTCCCTGGAGCAAGTGCTGACAGGAGCAAGACTGACCTCAGAGCCAAAATTCCTCTTTCCTCATTCCTCTCCATCTAACCAGGGCTGGCCTCCAGAAAATAAATGCCAGAAGCAGACTTCGGCACTGGTGAAATAATCACCATGAGAATGAATGCCATGTATGAAACCCTTGCTTTGTCCTGGGCACTGGGCTCTGTATTCAAATGCATAACCTGTGTGAAGCCAAGCTACCTCATGGTCCAGTCCAGACATGGAAATGCAGTCACAGAAACAAAAACCTGGCAACCAAATAGCAACTGAAAGTAATTTTAAGCCTAAATTAATTCTCTCTTGAAAAGAGAGCACATAATCATGACTGCTAAACTTCTTTAGATTGTTTTTTTTTTAACACTTAGTTTCTCCTTTTCATCCTAGAGTTGCTCCCCAAATAGCTTCCCTACTCCAACTGCCTCAAATTCTCTTCAAAATAGGATGGAAGCTTGGCCCGCTCTCCCGCTTTCTCCTTTCCTGCCCCTTTTGTTGTTCTTTTCCACAAGATCCCCTCTACCCTTCTGGCCTGGGCTTCTCCACGCTTCCCTCTCACACACGCAGGCTTGGATCAGCATAAGGTTCTGGAACCAGTCAGACACAAGGAGGAGGGGCATCAATGGGTGTAAACAGGAAGAGGATATGAACGCAAGCATTCAAACGTCACTGAAGGTGTCTATCTCATTCATTCTCGCAGTGACCCTCAGAAGGGGGCAATCCCATTAAAGATGTGAGAAGGCAGGGTTAAGATGTTTAGTAACCTGGTCAGTTGGCAGAAGAGTTAGGACACAAATCCAAGATGCAATGATGTCAAAATCCATGTTCTTGACTACGATTTGACACAGATTTTCTAGAAAGGAGCTGAATGGCAGAAAGCAAGTATCAACTTCTCTTTAAGATAGATGGGGTTTTCAGGTGGGATTTTATTTCATCTCTTCCTAGATTTAAAAAGCAACCATGAGACTATCATAGGAAAGATCAGGGTGAGAGTAGAAGTCAGTCTGGCTGGAAGTCTATTTTCCTCCTGTTAAGTGAAGAACAAATATAGGACAATTGGTGACAAGATTAGTTCAACATCCCATGTGCCTGGAGAAATCCATGATGCTTTTAGTGTAGTATCAAGCCCTTTCTAATCCAAGGCTTAGGGAAGTCTTCAGGTAACTGGGATTTATTGTGTTAACTTGGCTAGAGTAATAAAAAAAATACAAATATTGGTAATTAAAATGACTAAGACAATTGGGAGAATTTTGCTGCTCTGTTTTCTAGAACAAAGAGAAGAGCCCTTGATGAGGACTGAAAGGAAGATAAGTGGATAGAAAGAAAACCAGAGGAGTGTGGTAATGAAACCAGGGCTAGGCATGTTGCTGAGTAGTACAGCACAGGTCTAGCATCTGTGAATACCTGGCTTTTGTCCTAGGACCACAAAACAAACAACACTCCCGTGCAGAGGATATCCACAAAGGAAAACATAGTTATAAGAAATGCTGTTAAGGGGCAAATAAGATAAGAACTCAAAAAGGTCCCTTGCTTTAAGCACTCAAAAGCTGCTAATAACCTCCCAGAGGGCTAGTTCAGTGACAAACTGAAGGCAGAAGCCAGGCTGGAGTGAGATGAATGGAATTTAAGAGTGGAGATGGTGAGTCCAGACAACTCTTCCAAGAAATTCAACTATGAAGGGAAGAAGTGGGGAGAGTGTTGTGTCTTTTTGCTTTTCTTTTAATGTGGAAAATGTGTGTTTAAATGATGATGGGAAAGAGTCATTAGAAAGGAAGAGGTTAAAGATGAAGTAAGGAGCAGGAGAAGTGGGTATTTGGTAGTAAAATGTCCTCAGGATAAGGAGACCCGCTGGAACGGACAAGGGGAACGGCAGGCCTCAGGCAAAAGGAGAGTGATGTCTGTGATGGCCAGGAGAAAGGAAGGAGGGGACAAGTGCTGAGATGGTGGTAGTGTGTGGGGGTTGGTTAGAGTAGTTCCTGTCCAGTGGCGTCTATCAAATTTAAGAAGCCCTTACAGACCATCTACTGAGAATAAGAGCTTGAAGAGAATTTAAAAGAGACATTGAAAAGAGTCATAAAGTTACCTCATTAAAAAGAGATATTTAGATTGCTGGGCAGTGATAAAACTTCACTTGCAGTTGAATTTGCAGTGGCCTTGTCCACCTTGCTGTTTACATACTGCCACCAGCAGGGCTGTTACTGCTGAAGATGTAGGGGAAGGAAGAGTTGGCTTTGTGCATCACTGTCATTTTCCTGGGTGGATGTTGTAAAGAGGTTTAAGGAGCTGTAAGAGAACGTCCGCAGAGGACGACTGTGGAGTCTCAACTGGTATTGGGTGAAATGAAGACAGAAGACTGTCACAGAGACAGCATGTGGACCTGTGTCATGGGCGTGATGAGGGCAAGAGCTGTTGATGGCCCAGCAATAAGAAAAGACACTGTGGGCAAAGAGTGTGGAGGTGGATTGTTGAAAACGAAGACCAGGGTGTCAGCCTGGAAGTGGAAGGCTGACGTGATGAGGATCAGGAAGAAGCCATACACCCTTCAGTTAATATGCTACGTTGATCAAGCTGTTCTCCTATGCAGTTTCTTGAATGGTTTTCATTTTTCCTAAGTCTCTAGTCTACTTGGAGTCAGTGCTTATGTATGATGTGAGACTATCATTTTTAATTTTCTTTTATTTGGTTAACCAATATTTCTTGGGCATTGGTTATTTTATCCTTCCATTAGCCCTTGTGTTCATTCCTTCCTCATTGTCCTTATTCTGTATTCAATCCTTACTGCCTCTAGCATGAAGTAATGCACTACCTTTTTGTCTCCTCTCACTAGAGTCTATATTTTATGTGTTACTGTAAAAGTTAATTTTCTAAAATACAGGTATGGCCATGTCACTCCCCTGATTAAAGTGATTAAATAACTTTTTTTTTTATTACTTAGAGGAAAAAAGCTAAATTCCTAAGAGTGGGATATTTAAGATATCACAATATTTCTCCTTATGATATTTCTGTGGTTATCAAGTTATCCTCATTTTCTGGCCTTATCCATGTTCATACTCAAATGTTCCTGTATGGAAAATACATGATCCAGATTAACTTTTGGAAAATCTTTTCCCAGAACTGCTCATTAGAATCATAGTGAATAAGTTTTAAAATTTGTAATTTGTTTATTTGACATGTATTTGGCATCTATTGTGTACTAGGTGTAGACCACATTATAAATTTCTTTAAGCATTTACAATCTAAAGGACAGAAAGCATTAGCCCAATATCTAAAATAGTGTAGCAACAGATTTAAGTAAACTTCTATGAGAGTTCCAATGAAGGAAAAATGGCATTTTGTTTGGTGGAAGTCAGTGGTAGTGGCTTTGTGGCACAGTTATCTGGGTCATCCTGAAAGACAGATTAAATTGACAAACAGAGGGGATGGATGGGCACATTAGGCATCAGCAAAGACAGGAAAAATGGGAAATGTGACCTTTCAGTAACAAGGGAGCAGGGAGAAAGATGAATGGCTGGAAAAGTAAACTGAGGTCTGACTAGGCAGGACAGGTTAAGAGACTGGGCGTTGAGAGTCAATGAAAGCCTCTATTTAGGGACTGATATAATTAGGTAGTGACATGATGAGATGGGTTAGAATTCGGAGAGATTAAGTCTAAGAGGATGGACTGGTAATCCAGGGATGGTATGCAAGTCAGAAAGGACACAAGAGATTTTCAGAAGCAGAACCGATAGTAGTTAGAAGCCCAAAGAAAGGGGAGGGAGAGAAATGAGTCTAGCTCTGCTCCCAAAAATAAAATAATAATTGAGTGAATGACTCCTGCCTCTGATTAAGCACCAGTTATGTTTGTATTTGTCTGCTGGCATTTCATATATTTTTTGGTAGCTTTTAAAAGTACTTACCATTTTAAATCTTTTTCATAGCCTTAAAGATGTAACTTTAAATTAATGGTTTTATTTTTTTTCTTCTCCTCCACTGCCTCCTTTACGTGTGACAGCTTCTCCTGGATATGGTTGGGTCCCCTGATCAAGAGCTCCAGGAAGCTGCAGCTGGTTGTATATCCAATATCCGCAGGTTGGCTCTTGCTACAGAAAAGGCAAGATACAACTGAAATTTGAACAGAAATAACAAGCTACTAAATTTTACATGACAAAGGATACTCACTCCTATGGCAGCCTAAACTGGGAAACATTTATTAGCACATATTTTAAATAGTCTAAATGAAAATACGTGGATTAAAAATGCAAATGAAACTTTCATCTGGAAATTACATAGGTATTTTTGCTCTATGATATGCCATGTAATGCAATATAAAGCTAATAAATTTGTGATAATTTTCTGAGAATTTGAGAATATATGTACAGTGTATGTGTATAAATGATGCTTTTATATTTGTGGTGATTTTAATAAAGAATGGTTTTCCCAGTGTACACTTTCATAGCTGCTCATTCTAAATGTCTTTAGAATTCCCTTTCTGTTAAACCTATCGAGTGGCGCTGTCATTATGGCTTTGTCTGTTTGATCACTTGCAACCCACGGGAGAGTTCAGAAGAGATGTGCTGATTTCACAAACAGTTATTGCACAGAATTTAGAGTTAAGCAGCTGGGCTTAGAGAGATCATCCCGAGGTCAGCCCCAATTTCTCCAAAATACTATCAAGCATCTGAAAAGATAATGTGTAACTGTCAACCTACCAGACAATGCAAATCACAAGAACATAAGCAATGAGTTCTTTTTTTTTTTTTTTTACTCTTGGATTTATAAAGCATAAACAATTATAGGTTGTATTTCCTTTTTAGGGTTTCACCCACATTTTTATTGAAATAAATTAATTTATGCTGATGTTTGGATGATACTGTTTCACATAAAATTGTTTTGAATTTCTGAACTTGTTTTCAGCACACAAAGTGCTTTTTAAAAAGTGGCTACAAAGGATTAATAGCATTTTACCAGGTTAAGCAACATTAAAATCCATTTAAAAGAATCACATATATAATCTCGGTGTGCTGAAATGTTTGGGAACCAACTGTTCCACGTATCTAATAGCCAGGAAAATAGCTTTATGTGCATCACTCAGTAAACTGAAAATCTCAGTTAATTCTTTAAAGAGCAAACAAGGCTGCTTTATTGAAAGTGTTAGGTAATGTATATGTCATAATTTGGAGAGGATCATAAACTTAATTGAATTAAATGTAAATAATTTGTACATGAAAAGCCCATTCAAAATAGAAATTATACCAGTGATAAATGCTCCAATAAAAAGCTAAAGCACTTTTGAGAATTTAAAGATTTCTTGAAACAGCCATCTACCTTTATTACTTTTCAAAGAAAATTTTTAAAGAGGACGCTCTGAACAAGGAAATGGCATTAATGCTAAGAATTAAATATGAAGAAAAGAATAAATCTGTTAGCTTGACTAGTAGACATTTCCAATGATAAAGTCACCATTTAGCTTTGTTTCACAGCATGAAAAAACATATCTAGAAATCATAGGTTATAACAGCTACACAAAATACACAAGCATATTATTATTATATTATTAAAAGATGCACTTACCTTTGTCTTCAGACTTTAAAATATTTTTTAATTAGAGGGTCCTGGAAGTAAAGGGAAGCAACAAGCAGGACAACCACAATAACCACATGAATGGTGAAAGGGAAGGATTGTCTTTTACAATGTGCTAGATAGAAGAAAACTTGGGGTTTCTGTTCTTATGTAAGTTAATAATGCACACACAGTAAAATAGCGGTGCTATTTAAAAATAAACTAAGGACTTAGAGACAGAGAAAATTAACACCAAGATTGTCTAGTATATTTCTAAATAAGAATTGTTAAAAAATTGTTAAATACCAGACAAGCTGTATCATCATTAGAGTGAAAAATACGAAGTAGGATTTGAAGGTCAGCTTTTGGTCTGTTTTTGTGAAATAACATCGTGGAAAACTCTGACATTCCTAAAAAACAGTCAAAGCCAACAATAGCATCCTCAGCTTTCACAGAACACAGGTATGATCAGTCACACCACTGTCTGCTACGACTTGCTGTGGGAGAGCTCACCTGTCTTTGTGTGAGGATTCTTATTATATTAATTTTGGGTATTTAAGGCTGACAACTTTAATTCTTTGCAAGTTTTCACAAGTTTCTTTTTCAGGCTGTGTTCTTCCACAGGACAGAGAGAACAGTGTGTTTTCTTGGTAATGGATGGCTGTTTCAGTTTGAAAGGGGTTTAAGGTGGAAAGAATTTTAAAGAGACTTTTTTGATCTCCCAATCTCTTTAGTTTACAAGGTTTCCTTTCAGGAATCTTTGCCATGATCCTTCTGCTGTTTGCAGTCAATGTTCTTTTGCCACTATCAGGATAGCTAGTGTTAAAAATAACCTGTTTCTTTTTAAAACTTTTCAAACTTCTGAAATTTGGAAGGTTAGTTTTCGTAAGGCTTGCCATTGTATAGTCTAGTATTTTGATAGGGTTTATTATTACTGTTATACATCTCTAAGGTGTTCACAGGGGACTGAGAGCTTACTACTTAAAATATTTGGAAAATTTATTTCCATTTAGGAAAATGAGTATCTCAGTTACTGATAAGTAGACAACAAAGAGCAGTGAGTAGACCCTTCTTTTTCTTTTACATAATGGCTTTAGGTTAATAAAATAAAATGTCCCAGTCCAAATAATATATTTCATTTCATTATTTGAAGATTTGAAAATGAAATAGGCTATATCTATCCCCTTCTATTTCACTTTCAGTGGAATACATTAAGTGTACTCAGTAAAAACATTAAGAAAATCCACTAATGAAAAACATCACTGTCTCAAATGCACTAAATGCCAACAAAACAAAATAAAACAAAATGCCTTACATACATTTAAGTGCAAAAAGTAGAACTCTTCCTCTAAATGAGAGTGGAAAAGAAAAGAAACCAAATTTAATATGATACCACAATATGCAAGCACAGTGTTACGTACTTCTGATCTCATCTAAAACACAGAACTGATGAAATGGATAACCTCGGCATATGAGGGTCTGCCTAAGAGGGCTCAATCATTTTGCAAGGGCAATTTAACAATGCCTATCAAAAGCTCTATAATTTTCTGTGCTTTTCAAGTATATCCAGGAATTTATCTAAAACAGTATTCTCCACTGCAGTTGTTTGGATTTTGAGTGTCCCCAAATGTCCCTGTGTTAGAGGCTCTATCTCCAGGTTGACACTCTTGACAAGCAGTAGAAACAGTGGTGGGGTTTAGGAGAAGATCTTTGTGTCACTGAGAATGTGCCCTCAAAGGGGGTTATGGGACAGCGGCTCTTCCTGTCTGTCTCTCCTTTGCTTCTCCACTATGAGGTGAATAGTTTTGTCCTACCAGGTGGTCCTGCCTTATTGGGTTGCCTTGCCATAGGCCCAGAACAATGGCGTGAGTTGATCATGGGTTGGAACCTCCAACACTATGAGCCAAAAGAAGTGTTTTCTCTTTACAGTTTATCTGTTATTTTTTACGTGGATGGAAAGCTGGCTCATGCACACACAATCATTGTTTACAGTGGTAAAAATCTTAGGAAAATTTTAGTCAATTCAATTGTGTTCAGTCATACAGCAAAAACAGTCGTGTAAAAATAATGACATAAAAAGCTTTCCAGGATACATTGTTAAATTGCAAAGCAGATTTTAAAGCCGTGCTTGTAATGTGAGCACATTTTTAAAAATATATGCATGTAGGTAGATACTCGTTAGAGAAGGACCTGAATCATATACGTGAAACTAAACAAGTGATTATTCCTGAATGGTGGAATAAGAATTATTTTGTTTCCAATTTTGCACATCAATATTTTCTAATCTATTTGACAATGAATATGAATTGCTTTCTTGAAAATAAAGAAATTCCAATTAATTTTAATTTTCTATCATTTGGAAACATCTAAGGCAGACATTGTTCCTGTTTCCTAACAGCAACTTTAAAAGAGAAATCCTCAGATTACAAATGGGATATGCAGCACACATATAAAATAAGTGAGACTTTGAAAATATGAAAAAAGTAACTTCAACATCTAAAATACCATAAGAATATTGTTAATTCTTGATACACGTTTGTAATAGCTTTAAACTACAACAGTAATGATGTGGTATAGTTGAAACATTGTGAAGTGGCTCATATATAACTTCCATTTCTTTACTTGGTTTTTGGCAGTTAAGTATCTGAATTATATTCTAAGAGCATAGAAATCAGATATTTGAAATAACTCAAAGGATCATTTATAGATTGCTTAATATAATATTTTGAGAAGAAAAGAATGATTTTGATTCATTATTTGTTTATTCCATTGTAGGTGTCTAAAAGGAGCAAATTTGTGATTATTAGGTGTGCTTATCTTTTTGCCTGAGTAAACCTAATATAAGCACACTCTCAAATATACCAACACATAAAAATATAATAGTTTCATAGATTTTTCTGTTCCTTTAAGATGCCTTGTATCTCTTCTTTGTGCTTTTTATGCTCAAATTATGATATTAATTTCATCTCATTCCAAAATTTATTTTCTCCATTCTATGTCTCCAGCTTCTACTCTTTCTTTAACAAATGGTTATTACATTTTCCAGCTCTTAAAATATGTTATGGTTTAATTTCTATAAGTGCAAGATGTAAAGGTGATATTTTAATATGTTTCTGATGTGCAGTTGTCACGGCTGGCTTGAATTCATGTAACAGATGGGGTCCATATACTCCCAGCTCATTACTTTAACATTTTTAAGTAAAAGTGGCTGATTCTTTACTCGCATCTGTCAAGACAAACAGTAGCTTTTCATTTGCCATTTCATGCCAACTTGATTTATTAATTGACAAAATACATTCTTTTATGAAATCTCTAAGAGCATAAAAATTATATAAATGAATTACATTACTGACCTATGATGGTCAGAGTTAAGATTTGTCATTACAGTTTGGATTTATGTCCTGATTCATTCTTACTGTTGAAAAGATAGATTAGTGTATATCAGTATGGATCAGGTAGACTTGAAGAATCTATATTTGGTTGGCTTTTGCCAGTATATCAGTTATATTAGCAATTACAAACCTAAATGTATGAAAGGACCAGGCAGGTAATCCAAAGGAGGGAATAGAGCTAGATACTTAAAAAAATAATACAGATCTAATTTCCATTTGATCTGTTTAGCCTGCACATCTGAGAGAGAGAGGGATTAGTAAAGACTGGGAGACTGCAAAAGACAGACAGATTACTACTTACTACCAGTCAATCATCAATAGATCTTACATTTATTCAAGAGGGGTTCATGTCTTGATAGTCTCTCAAGGATTATGTATGGTAGTTATATTATTCTGCTAGGGA